CGTTCCTGGGTGGAACGGGTGTGTGGGGGAGGCGGGGAGAGAACGGCCCATCTCGACCCACCCACCACCCTACCGAAACATTCAACCTTGCTCGGTAACTCGCGAAAAATGTACTTTTGTTTGTTTACCGAGAAATTAGTTCATTCGAACTGGAGGGGGTTTAGACAGACCCGGTCCAATCGGTGACATTTGGCGGCCAAAACACCAATCATCTTGTCGGGGTTTCTAATGGAGTGCGATTGGTTGGATTCACTTGTAGTTACGGTGGATTCACTTGAAGTTACAACGGATTCACTGGAAATTGAAAAGGTTTAGTTATGGTTGACATAGAGAGAATTCTGACATCTTTTATGTTACACTGCTTTCGTTTTTAGATGAAGAGCAGCGTGCTGAGGATATGTCCCTTTGGTGGAATACACCCTTTCAACTTCAAGCGAATCCGCCGTTACTTTCAGCGAATCCGTTGTGAATCTAACCAATCGCATTCCACCGGGATTATTGGTGTTTCGGCCGTCAAATGTCACCGACTGAACCGAGTTTGTATAAATTCCGTCCAATCTGAATGAATTAACTTCTCCGTAAACAGAAAAAGTACTTTATGAGTGAGTTACCGAGCAAGGACGAAAGTCTCGGTGGGGTGAGGTGGGTCGTTCCCCCCCCCCACACACGTTCCACTCGGAAACGTTATGTTCGTGATCGTTGACTGAGTGTGAGTCAGAGATACAAATGAACGAACCCCGAGTTAATTGACCTCTGTGGGTCGGGTAAGGAAGCAGGTCACGCCAAAGTAGATCCATAAGTCGGTCACCATGCCCGGCGGTGAATGTGAGCACGATTCATTGCATGGGTGGATTCAGTCTTAGCCCTCAATAACCCAATGAGTAAATTCCCTTAAGGCCGAGTTTCTTTCGAATGAAACCGATTCCTTTGAATAAAATGCGATTGCTATCTGGCATTGAAATGCACACTTGACGAGTTACTTAGCATGCATAAGAAGATTGGTGTGACTGCAGTTAGTTTCTGCCCTCGATTGATTCGCCACTGGGATCGAAGATAACTTTATCCGAAATGAAGATAAACACAACTGTTAGTGATTACTTTGACCAAACTGGGATCAACCTCAGTGGTTGATAGATTTTACCATTTGAACCCCAACAAAATGCAAATTACTGACCTGCCCAACCCAGCCTGCTTGCCTTTAATCACCCCGTACCTTGAGAAACACTGCCTATCGAGAGCCTGCTTTTGTGTGAAATTATCCAGAAACGTCAAGTGTAAGACCTATTGTAATTGTAAATGTGCTCAAAATTCTACCAAATTTCTCAAGTTCTCGGCATATTAACTTCAATTGTGGTAGAACTTTCTGACTTTTATCTTCCATTCACAAAACGTTCAGTGAATGAAACAAATAATTAACTATCAAATCTATTAAAAATCAAACATTTTTATTGCTGTTGGATACTGTACACTAAGATGATTAGATGCCTTCCATTCTATTGGTCCTTCGTGATTTGAGATTTGGCATCATCAGCAATGCTTTCCAAACAAGCCATTTTCACCCGTCATCATTTTGGAATGTTGATTTCGAAGCTGCATTTTGATGTAACTTTTCGTAATGCTCCATATCATTTCACTCGAACTCAACGCTGATCAGTGAGCATTTGCAACCATTACAGACAATTTGGAGTTGTTGGAACCTCTTTTGAGAATATAGTTCAACAACCCATCAGCATTCATAGCACCTATGATGTACAGATTACTTACTGTGGTCGCTTTACTCACCTCAGGCAGAGCGAGGGACTACAACGAACTAAGTAGGCGGTTCGTCACCAGCAGCGGCGTTCCTCAAGGGTACCCTAGTTCGTGATTCCTATTCCATTTTTTTCGTCGACGTAATCCGTATTCTGGAGGTAAGCCATCATGTGTTTGGGTGTTTATCAGGGATAAACCTGCTAGCTCATCGAATTCAGACTAGTAGGATTCGTTGAATAGGACACGTATGGCGTATGCCCATCTGTCGTCAGCCATACCGCGCTTTATTCGCTTAAGTTGATAATGATTCGATGTTTGTGCAAAATGTTCAGTGGACAACGAACCATCGGATCAGGATAAATGGATAGGGCAAAGCCAGGTAACATGTTTCAAATGGACACGATATGGGGAATGTTAGACAAGAATGAATAAAACAAGTGGGAAACTGTGGGAAAAAGACAGTAACTGAGGCAATCGGGGGAATGTAAAAGATGTCACATAGGGCTATGTGGTGATCCAGGTCTACGAGGTGACGCCTACCCTGGAGCGGCGCGTTACATTTTTTGGACAAAGGTGATCAATCAAACTTCACGGGTGACGTCAACAACGCGCGTAGTTCAGTTCAGTTCCGTTGGTATCCAGGACCGTGACGGCAATTGCCATAATCTACAGGTTCTTTCACTGGTGAGCTTCTTGGATCCCCCGGTACTGCGACAATAGTGGAAATAAAATTCCTCTTCTGTTAGGATAGGATAAGCAGACTCGGATGTCCCGACCTGCAGACACTGATTCCACTTCGTGTATGCAGGAGCATAGTTATTATCTGTAAGCCACTTAGCGGGCGGTCTGTCTATCAACTAAATCAAAAAAAGGGATAAGCCTGCAAAATCCAAGGCTTGAGTGAGGGATTCAAGTGGGAAATTGTTCTGGGGAGCGAGATAGGCATAAATGGGAAAGAAAGAGTAGAAGCACATATAATATAAGCAGCGATAGGGTGCCAACGGTAGCGTCAAAGGTAAGATCCGTTGAGATTAGGAGAGGATAAAAAATTGAAAAAGAAAGAGTAAACTATCAGCTGAGTGCCTTCATTACGATCCTGCTCGGTGGCTCAGTCAGTCACCTACGCTCGACTCAAATATTTTCTCCCAAACGCCATCAAGTCGGTGTTTTAAGGTCACGACTAAAGTAGCCTCTATCACCTCCTCTGGGAGTTTGTTTCATTCGTTTACCACTCTTTCTGTAAAGAACTGTGCTCGGAGTCTGGTCCTGACGCGGTTCTTTTTTAACTTGAGTCTGTGACCTCTCAAGTTTTGATGTTCTCTAAGTGGCAGTAGCGGTTGTCCGTTTATGTTGACAAAGCCTTTGAGGATTTTGAAAGCCTCATTG